ACCCTGGTGCCAGGGGAGATGGCTGTTCCCGAAGCCCCCGTGACTCTGTGGGAAGCCCAGGCTGGAGCAGCTCCGGACCTCGTGGGAAGGACTCATGCAGGAGAGGTTCCTGGAGGACTCTCTCCCATGCGAGGGACCCTGTGGGGAAGCAGGGCAGGACTCCTTCTTCCTGAGGAGGCAGGAGCAGCAGGAACCACCAGCCTGTGAACTGACTCTAAACCCCATCCCCTGTCCCCCTGTGCCGCTGGGGGGAAGGAGGGAAGAGAAGCTGGGAACAAAGGGATTTGGTCCCGGGAAAAAGAGAGGGGTAGGGATAACGTGTGTGAGCCCTGCTCTGTGTGTGTCTGTGTCCTGTGTGAAGTTATATTTTTTCTGCAAGTTGAGTCTGTTTGGCCTGGGACCTTAACTGATGAAGAACCCTCCTTGACCTTTGTCTTGACCCATGATCTTTGTCCTCCTCATCCCAGTGTGTGTGTGTGTGGGGAAGCTGAGTGAGTGGCCATGGGGCTGTTGCTTTGTTGTTGTGTTGGGCCCAAACCACGACATTAATGGTGAGCCAGGCAGAAGAGAGAGACAAAGAACAACAACACTCCCACTCAAGATCCTGAACCCCATCATCTCATCATCACTGCAGCCAAGGCTGCCTTTGACCGTCACTGCTTCAACCAAACCCTCCTTGTTAGTGAGTACAAGATCCAGCAGCCCTCCACTCCTAGTTGGTGTGTCCCCCATTTGCATCAAGAAGTTATCATCAGGTACGTACAGGCACGCTTACAATTGCCTTTGGCAGGTGTAAGTCCTTGTTTGAGATTAAACATAGCCTGAAATCTCACAAAGAAACTGTAAAGATTCTGGAGAGGAGAAACAGAGGATCAAGATCTCTAAGAGATGAGAAAAAATTGTCCCAATTAGTACAATTAAATACAGAGGGTCTGGATTGGACCCTCTTCAACTAGCTTGCTTTTGAGCTTCTGTCTTAAATCACAACTTTTCTAATAGACCATTTAATTGGAGCAGAAGTAGTTTTAAAAAAACGTAGGAAAACAGAATTTTGAGGTTTGTTTCACTTTTGCAGGTAAATAAATTACATGCTTTCACTGTTTGCAGGTATGTGCAAACACAGAGAAAACAATATCTACAAGGTGTTTCAGTTAACAAATATCAGTCATCGATATCTGTTATTTAAAGAAAATCAGCTTTTGGAGGTCAGTATAGTAGTTTCTGGAATTTAAGGAAAAGAACACCCTATTAGTTAAAAAAGGAAAGTTAAAAAGGAAAAAGTAGGCATAAATAACTCCAGATCAGAGGTGGTGGGACCAATCTGAAAGCAACTTTTACATCAACATACCTTCACGTCTGATTTATTTCAGTCCAACCATGGTGACTTTAAAAATGTATTAATAAATCTGAGTGCAACATTTGCTACCATGGATTATTTCCATAGTACAAAAGTCTGCATTGCATTAGTTGTGCATCTGTCTTGCATGGAATACCCAAATAAAATGTTTGTTAGAATTCCCAGTTTTGCACATTGCAGATTTCAGCATTTGTGCATATCTGAGCACTGAGGACATTCATACCTTTGTGAGATCCTTATAAAGTTCTGGATACAGCAATGCCATTTCTGGCTTCACATCCTGATCCAATACTAGAGAGAAGACTGGAAACATAGTATATATGGTTGCATACCTAGGAGAAGGAAAAACACACAGGATGACACTTCTGTATGATACGATTTTAAACTAATCTACTGAGTTATTTTTATTCTTCTTTTCTTATTATTCTTTTTATGTAAGAGGAATTACACTTGTTTTTCTATCTAGTAATAAGACAGCTTACCAATACAGCTTTTTACATGCAACCTGATCTTCTTCTTCTCAGAGCTGCCAGACATGAGAAGTTATAGAGCTTTTATAAATTCAAAAAACAGTAAAAAAATGTATTTCTTCTATATATGTATCACCCAAACTTAATGCCTGTTACCATACTCACTTTACACTTCTACTTTGGACAACCAGTTCAAAGACCTGACACTGAAATTCATGCAGAGATGGCATGAAAACTGAAGAAAAACAAGCACTATATTCCAGATATCATGGTATAGGTAGGTGGATAAACCACAGTCTTAACAGTTCTGTAAATGGCTTTGGATTTTGGTATGCCCATGCTTGATGCATACGTTAGAATGTACTTTTCTAGAACCCAGCACAACTATTACTAACATTTTGGAGAGGGCTATTGCTCACCTCTATAGAGTCTGGCAGAAATCTGATTCTCACTGAGGCTTGTCTGGCAATCTGTGTAACAGCTGAGACTGGTCTGGGAGATTTCCTCTAGTCTTTACAGTCCATATGTGAAAAAGGTTATATAGTATCTTCTAAGGCTCTGCAGGTCCCCCTCTTCAGAGACCTGATCATGAGGCTTCCTCCCTCATCTAGTGCATATGCAACCTAGTTTGGCTTATCTTTGCAGACTCATTCCAGGTTTTGGTAGTGTACCAATGAAAAATGTATGAAAAATATGGCAGACACCAACTACATGATGGGATTTAACAAAGTAGCTTGCTGTACTTATTACCAGATATTGTAACTGTTGGTTTTCACTTACCCTACCATAAGGAATCCTTGGTATAAGGGAACAGATGCAAAATAGAAGACTGATGAAAATACAGCCTACAAAAAGCAGATAATTATATATTTAATATCATTCTATATACAAAACATTACAATACAGAAAAAATAATACAGGTGCTTTAGGATTTTGTGACATTTCAAAGACAGACAGTGTTTTTAACTATTCAGAAGACAAAGTTTTAAATACCTGCATAGTTGAAATAATAAGGCCTCGGTGCATGACAAATTGACCAAGTGCTGCTGATCTTTTGTAACTGTTTCGACCATGTACCATCAGCAGCCTACCTATGTGTTTAAACTGTGTGATAGAGAAATCAGCTGCTAGGGAAGCTTGTTTTCCCTCCTAGAACAAAACAAAAATATTCCAAATATGAAAACCAATGTAAAATATGTGCTTCAAATTTCAGAATTCTAAGTGGTAATTAATTTTAAGAGTCAAGTTTGCTCCTGCTTTGGAAATCAACCCTGCAAAAAGACACAAAGGATAATTTTTTGTTCATATTCTAAGACACAGTGGCTCTAACAGGCAAATTTAATTGCCCATCCTGCTTTTTTCAAGTAAATACTACACAGAAAAAACTGCAGTGTATTCTGCTTTTCTTGATTTTTTTTTTTGTATTAAAAAAGATAAAGCAGAGGACACAGAAGCAAAGAAAATATTTGTTCAAAGACCAAGCATTTTTATCATGTTACAGCATACTTCAATTAAAAATGATCAACTCACTATTGTTTAATAAAAAACCCTTGAATGCCATGTAACTATACTATTATGACAATGAAGCTGTTAACATTACCTTGCCTTCAATTCCAATTCCACAGTCTGCTGCTTGGATCATGCTGACATCATTTCCTCCATCACCTGGAAAATGTCACTGCAATATTCAGCTCTTCAGAAGTTTTACTCTCCTGACCTTACAGTATTTTAGAAACCTCTTATACAGCTTTACATTCCTATAATTAATCTATGGATTGTGATTAATTACTTCAGGGACCAATACTTTCCTGTGGAATAAAGAAGATAACCACAGCTTTCTCACGGAATGGCATTTTCTGCTACAGCTACACAACACCTGGCTGTTGATAAAGATTTTGTTTCAACTGTTTCTCACTGGTGCCATCTACTGCTTAACTTTATTACAGATTTTAGCTATTGCAAAGGAAGATCATGCCAAAGGTTACCTATTGCACACGTGCGTTTTCCAGTGTGGTGCTGTAACAGTTTCACAATATGAGCTTTTTGGGTGGGAGAACATCGGCAGCACACTACAGCAGGACACTGACAAGCCAACTCTACAAATTCATGCTCATAATACTTCAAACAAACCTAAGGGAAAAAATACACTCACATTTACTTATTATTAAATACTACTACATGTAGTCTAACAGAAAAATACAGTATAAAGAATTCCTTCATGAAGTGTGGCTGGCACAATATCCATGTGGGAGGAAAAAAGCCACATTTTCCTGACTGTGCCCTTACTATTTTAACTGACATTCTGTTTCATTTAGAGAGCCAACACTCTTTGGGTTCAAGGGAAGAGACAATACTAAAGCATGCTACATACAGATTCCATTCTGTACCTATACAGGAGACCAGCAAACCAGTAACATTTGCCCATCCAAAATATACATTTTCTAATTAGCACTCAATGAAAAAAAGTATCTCTAAGGAAAAGTTCAAGTATGAGCAAATATTGGAAAAAAGCTTAAGAACATGAAGACACTAACACTACTTTTTGAACACAAGCAAACAGGGAAATGTAATTTGACAAAACCCAAGCTCTTACCTCAAGTGAGTCCCCAGATATCACCAAGGCACAGTCATGCTTCCTCCTAAAGGCATTTAGTTCTAAGTGAGCTTCTCCTCGAGTGGTAACCTTCAATAAAAACCACTCACTTAAAAGATTTTGTTATATTTTTAAAGAAAACCTGCCTAAATAAATCAGGTCTTGAGAACTCATACCCAGAAGGCCTCGGTTCTTCAACAATGTTTTATCCCAGTGCAAGCCCAATACCCACGGGATGTGACTACAAGCCTTGAATCTGATGGAGTGAAAAAGTAATCCTCAAACAAAGAAAACCCATGTAGTCAAGTTTGACTGGTTTCTCACCAAAGTAGACTAGGGCTAACAAATTAAAGAATTAATGACATGAAAATAGATTAAGTTCAAGCTGACCCAAGCCTTCCTGTTTCAGCAGGACTAGAAAAAAAATAAGACAACAAAATCAAGCAACCCCCAAAATTTTATGTATTAACCAGTAAGATATGATCTTAGAATAATGAAAACTATTCATATTAATAGTTCCTTCAGTTTGGGTAAGGAGACAGTGTTCAAAAAGCACATTAAAAAATGCTCACTAGTACTAATCCTTTTAGATCTTGTGTGAGTATAAAACAGCAGGACCAAGTGGCATAACAGAATCATAGAATGGTAGGGGTTGGAAGGGACCCCTGAAGAATATCTAGTCTAACTCTCCTGCTGCAGCAGGAACACCTAGGGCAGATCACACAGGAACACACCTAGATGGGTCTTGAAAGTCTCCAGAAAAGGAGACTCCACAACCTCTCTGGGCAGCCTATTCCAGTGCTCTGATACATAATACAAAAGAACTACATCATTGATTTTTTAATATACGTAATTATTGTTTTAGAAAGACCCAGCTGTGAATGGCAAGAAAAGGTCAAAAGTTGCCAAATGGAGCTTGGAAGGTTTTGAGCTAGAGCATAAAAAAATTAAGTTATAACCAGATTTTGAAGTAGTTTTGGGGTTTTTTTCTAATAAAAGATCAATGGATTTTAAAGCTATCATGCAAGACAAAGTTCCGAGCACAGGAAAAAACAAAAACTCTGATTACACTTCTAATTTTGGCTCTGCTAGCAGTTTGATTAAATAACTTTAAAAATATGTGAGTCGTAATTATCCTGTATATGAAGCTTGTCCTTGGCCCACTGCTACCCAGAATCAGAAAGTCCAAAGACCTTTTTCCCTCTCTTCCCTACAGTCTCTGTCTAACACATATATAATTTGAGTTACATTAAAAAGCACCTGGAAACAGAAAAAACCCATGCATACGCCCCAGTTCAGAATTTTTTTCTTCCTTTCCCACAATTACACCTGTAAAAAGAAAACTCCTTATCTGGCAACTGTTAGGAACCTGGGATTGAATTGGCCCATTATAATCTTTTTGCATTACAGAGATTAAAAGATGTCAGCACTTGGTGCACACTAAGGAGCAGTAATTACCCTCTCTGTTCTACCTTTCAGCTAACAGAGGTGGTTTTTAAAAAAAATTTGTAAATGACTCTAGAACAATATATGAGCTAAATGTATTACAAAATGAAGAAGCTGAGACTTCTACGAACAAAAAGGAAGAGCATTAAAAACAAAATGCACTTTTTTGGAAAGACAAAGCACTAAGTAATTTTTTATTTATTAATTTAGAATTAAAAAGGACATTTTAGAGGGCTTGGTATTTTCTTATATTATTATATTAATCTTATATTAATTAATTTATTTGAAACAAATACAGCCACATAAATAATTCTGTACAGATCCATTTTCTAACCAATTAAAAACTTTGCGTACTCAAAGTTAACATAGTTTTACGCTGATGTGTTATTACTAGTCGAGGTAATGAAAATAAAAATCTGACTCAAATAAATAGATTTTATTCAAGAAGACTTAATTTGCAGCGTTATAACATGGAAAGGTCAACAAAAATTGATCTAAAGTTTTATCAGAAGCATTAATAATTTAATTGCAAATAGTAGTCTGCAGGGCCTAATTTTCCATTCTGACGCTTCAGACAAAACTACATTTACATGTAAATTATATTCATATAATTATTTCTGTAGGTGCAAGTGGTTCATTTAGAACAAACAGAGACATATTATGTCTGATCACACAGCATCAATCAACGTCTGGAAAATCTATTTCTGTTCAGCTTCACCAGAGTTGATGCTATGCAAATATAAGCAAAATGTACAGAGAAAGATACTCAGTTTACCTTTCCAATAATTATCTTAAATGGTGTGATAAAAAACCACAAATAACTATAAAGATATTTTAAAAAATATATCAATTTTTCTCATACAGATTTGAATTATGTCTATACAGAAGACGTGGGCCTTACGGTTTAATTCAGGATTAATTTTGCTGGAGTCTATAAATATTGATAAAAATGCAAGATCAAGCAAAAAGCACATTCAGGAAGCCTAAATTCCTGGACACTTTTCTTACTCGTTCAGCACCTCACATAGAACCCTCTCCATCATTATTCAGAGGTACCTTACTATGTCCACTGTGTAAATGAAGAGTGTAAAACATGTTGAACCTGGGTCACCCCACCATGGCTACAAACATTTTCTGTAGCATAACAACAAATCTAGAAACAACTCCCCTGAAACAGAAGCAATGCTTTGTAATTCTGCATCCTTGAATGACTACCTACTCTCTTGGCCATCGTAGGACACTCAGTACAGTAAGACATCCATTTTCAACAAGCAGCCAACTACTAATAAAAAAAAGCAACATTGTAATTAGCTGTCCTTTGATGAACCAACAAAAAAAATTGGAACTATACTTACAGGTCTGAAAATGTGAATATCTTGAGTCCTAGACACTAAGTGAGAACTTTTTGCAATACAAGTTGCTGTCTCCAGTTTATCTCCTGTTAACATCCATATCTGCAAAATAATGTAAACATTTAATCCACTGGACATAAATGTACCTGTTCTCCAAATGTAATGACATCTTTCTCCAGCCTTATTCTGTTACCTTTTGGCATTAGACTAGCAGAGAAAATAGACCGATATGTGCATTTTTAACTAAAATTAATGAGCAGTTTTTACTGCAATAGCACACAAGGCAGAACTGTGTACTTCAGACAGCTCCATTCCCCTTCTGTTCTCACAAGGGTCAATGTCTCAATCCACATGAAGACAAGGTGAAACTCTGGGGAAACCTACTGGCATAGCTGAACAGCAGGGAAAGCATAAAAGCCTCTCCCTACGGCCCTGATGCTACCATGATCAAGAGTCACAATGCAGACACCTACAAGAGAGAGAATACTTGTCAGCAAAATGATGCACCACGAGAGTCTGCGACCCTAGTGAGAATCTATCTGAAAGCAGCAGCCAAGCAGTGAGACAAAATATCCTGGAGGAAAAGCTACAGTCCCAACGCTCCAAAGAGACCCTGCCTGCTGACCATGCAGAAGATGAAGGCATTAAACCTTAAGAAATAAGGTTGAAGATCCAGCTGTTCTTAAAAGTGAGGCAGTTCTCACTCCCTCAGCCCCTTAACACCAAGAACATTGAAGGGCATCTGGATGAACCAGCATTAGCCCTAGATGAAACAGAACAGACCACACAGAAAGAATGATTAAGCTGCAGGAGTTATTACTGGATAGTTACACTAAGCTAACAGTTGAAACTTTATTAAACCGTAAGTCTCTGTCTTCTCTTTTCCTATACATCTCAAGTAACACCCTTTTCATTAGTGTCCATGTGTGGGTCAATGTCTGGACAGAAAACTCAAGTTTTCTCATCAGCAACTGGGTAATCTATAATTTTATTACCCATCTACAGCTCTGTTTTTAGCCTACTATAATGTTGGTTGTAATTAAAGTCAGAACATCTTTAATGCTCTGAAATCCTAGAACTAATCACTAAAGAAACCAAACCAAAACAGGAACAACAAAATCCCCTAAAAATTCTAAATATTCTATACCTGTTTGTAGCAAGATATACCTAACAGTCAGAAGTGACCAGACATAGGAGAAATACCAAGAGCAAGTGAAAAAATAGTATACACAAAATACTAATATATAAGTACTTTGCTCTAGTCATACCATACTGAACTAAAACTTGATGTCATCATAAGGCTTTAATCCATATATGCATTTTTCTAATTGTGCACATGACTGCATTACCAGCTAATTCACCTGAAAGCCTCTGGGGAACAGGAATTAATTAAAAATAGAATACAAAAATAGCAGACATGGAAAGTGGTCTCTGGAGATTATCTAGTCCAACTCCCCAGTGCAAAGCAGGATCAACTACAGGAGGCTGTTCAGGACCATGTCAAGACAGTTGTGAACATCTCTAAGGAGGGAGACTTGATGAACTCTGTGAGACCTGCTCCAGATTTTGAAAACACATTAAAAATATTTCTTCCTGTAGTCAAGTGCAGCTTCCTTTATTTCAGTTTGCATCCATTACATCTTGGGCTTTCACTGTGCATCACTGAAAAAAAGCCTGGCTCTGTCCTCTTTGGACAGTCCCTTCAGGTATTAAACAGTAATAAGATCCTCCTGAGCCTGCAGAACTTCACCGTTTCATAACTCCTGTTGGGCAGCCAAAGCTGTGCCATCAAACCAACTTTCACATCCCTAACCAATTCATAGAATCATAGAATAACAGAATGGTTAAGGTTGGAAGGGACCAAGGTTACGGTTAAGGTTATTGGTTAAGGCTGGAAGGTTCCAACCTCCCTGCTATGAGCAGGGACACCTCACACTAGACCAGGCTGCACAAAGCCTCATCCAACATGGTCTAACACCTCCAGGGAGGGGGGCTTCCACAACCTCCCTAGGCACCTTATTACCCTCATGGTGAAGAATTTCTTCCTGATGTCTAACCTAAATTTATCCTCTCTCAGTTTAAAATCATTACCCCTTGTCCTATCATTGCCCTCTCCGGTGAAAAGCTCCCCTTCAGGTACTGGAAGGCTGCTATCAGGTCTCCCCAGAGCCTTCTCTTCTCCAGGCTGAACAGCCCCAACCCTCTCAGCCTGTCTTCACAGCAGAGGTGATCCAGCCTTTTGATCATCTTGGTGGTCCTTCTCTGGACCCTCTCCAACAGCTCCATGTCTTTCCTGTGATGAAGGCTCTAGGGTTGTATGCAGTATTCCAGTGGGGTCCCACCAGAGCAGAGTAAAGGGGCAGAATCACCTCCCTGGCCCTGCTGGCCACACCTCTTTTGATGCAGCCCAGGATGCAGTTGCTCTCTTGCCTCCAGCACACACTGGTGGCTCATGTTGAGCTTCTCATCAACTACCACCCCCGGGTCATTTTCCTTGGGACTGTTCTCTCGCCCTTCTCCCCTCAGCCTGCATTTGTGCCTGCAGTCTGTGACCAGGACGTTATGTTGAGGTAGATGACGTCAGTTGCTCTGCCACTACCCATCATCTCTGTAGCCTTGTCATAGAAGGCCACCAGATTGGTCAGGCATGATTTGCCCTTAGTGGAGTCATGTTGGCTGTCACCAATCACCCTCTTATTTTCTATGTGCTTTAGCATATTATCCAGAAGGAAAATTATCTTGCTAGGCACAGAGGTGAACCATTCCATGATCTTGCCAGGCACAGAGGTGAGACTGACTGGCCTGTAGTCCTCCAGGTCTTCCTTTTTCCCCTTTATTAAAAATAGAGGCTGTGTTACCTTTTTTCCAGTCTGCAGGAACCTCACTAGACCACCATGACCACCCAGATATGATGGAAAGAGGTTCAGCAACTGCATTTGCCAGTTCCCTCGGGACCCATGGATAGACCACATTAGGTCCCATAGACTTGCGAGACCTGCTCCAGGCTTTTTCCTCATTGTTTGTTAGTATGAGATCTAATGGAGCATCTCTCATTGTTGACTCCTCAATCATTTGTGTCAAGAAATTACCAACATTGAACTACAAAGTTCTCCTCGTTTACTTGTGCCCTCCTTTGTTGCCCTCCCAGCAGATACTGGAGTAGTGAAAGTCCAGCACAAGGGTCAGCATGGGCAAGTGTGAGGCTTCTTCCAGTTGTCTGAAGATGGCCTCTTCTACTTCTTCTTGATCAGGTAGTCTGTAGCAGACACCACAACGTTGTCTACATTGGTCTGCTCACTAATTCTAACATATAAATTCTCAGCTGGCTCATCATTTGTCCCAAGACAGAACTCCATGCATTCCCACGCCTCTCTCATGCAGATAGATTTCCCATTGTCGCGGGTGGGTACCGGGGACCCTGCCTGCCCAGCCTGGACCGAACCGGACCAAAGAAGCCTGCCCAGCCTGTGTCTGCCACAGAGCCACGGGACCAGAGCCCTGCCAGCAGCAGGAAGGGGTCGCCCCGGTCACTGGGACACCGGTCCCCCTGCGGAACTCCAGCCGAGCCTGCCAGCACATTTCGAGAACTGCGCTACGCAAGGAAGGAGGGTAAATACGCACACACACACACACACACACTCTTTAACTTTCTTACTGGGCTCAACTCCTACCCTTTCACTCCATTGATTTACACCTCTCCTTCGGAGTGTGCCTTTTATAGACCACAGTGCCTTTGAATCCCTTTTCCAATATATATACCTAGCTAACCTCTCCTGAACCTTGATCCCTTAGTTTGTATTGTCCCTTAATAAACTGATTAATTTGCAAACTAAACATTGGTCTCAGTAACAATTTGTGAGCGTGGTGGGAGGGTACTTTTAATCTACTCTCTTAGAAACAGACCCACAGTGGCCGTTCCTCTGACAGAGGTGGACACTCGGGCTTTTTTAACAAACCTCTCCACATTGGGAGAGGAAGTCGCGGTAACATCCTGACAGGCGGTAGCCCCCCAGTACTGGCCCGTGACACCCATGCTTGCTGCAAAGCAAAATAACTTGCTCTTCTTAGGTTAACAAAATCATTGTATCTGATTCAGTTTAACCAAAGCAAAGTCAAGACACCCTTCTGTGCAGATTTTGATACTCTGCTTCAAGCAAAATGTATAAAATCTTGCCCACTCCTCTCAGATATTGCTTATCTTCACTTGAAACGTTCTCTCAAATAAATGCATTACTTTTAAAAGTGTAATTGACAGCTGTCTAGCATAGCCTGCTTATGAAAAAAACACTGCACTAACTCTCATGCAAAGCTTTTGACATTGTCCCTTTAACATGACTTGAACAAAGTCCAAGGGCAGTTCTGAATTCTAGTTCAAACAATCCACCTTGTGATCTCTGAGACTTCTTGTGAGTGTCAATCCTCAAAACATTGTTATCATAGCAATCTTGTGCCAAACTCATTTAGTGTCAGCTAGGAGAGTTTAACTGTAGACAGTCAGAGGACAAATGACTGGGAATCACATATGTTTATCCACTGGTAGTTTTCCTACAGAACTAGGCTTAAAATCAATGAAGCCTGTGAGGAACAAGGGAACTTGGCACACAGTCTTGTTTGTTTCTGCTAGCCCATGCCCAGAATGTGCTTAGGACATGGCATATTTCTTCCTTTGAATGAACCCGAATATAGACGAACGTAATTCATGTCTTCTTAAAATAAGTTAATAAATGATAACCTGTTTTGTCAGCAGTATTTGTTTAGTACCTTTATTCCAGCATTTCTTAGCATCTCTAGAGTTGGTCTAACATCTGCTTGCAGCTGATCTTCTACTCCAGTGAGACACAGCAATTCCATTTCTCGCTCCAAACTCTCTACAACAGCAGCAACCTTCAGGTTTCTATCATGTATGCTTAACTTTGCTTGGTTATATCGACTCTGTTTGCACAAACACAAAACCACTTACGAGTTTGTTATGATTCATAAAGTACACATTCAGCCTGTCAATAATTGATACTATGTATTAATTAGGCTATATATTTGTCTTTCAATATCACTAATATGAACAAGATTAAAAGAGCAAATTTCTCCTTATACCCTACATTATACATGTTTTTTCTGACAAATCAAGAGAATGCCTTCAGAAAAACTATTAAGAATTAGGCATCACAGCATCTAAGCAGGTCATGCTGAAGCTACAGAATTAGCACTAGCTAATTCTAGAAACTATTAGAACTAGCTTCTGGGAAAACACTCTCCAGCCACATAATAAAGCAAAACGGTAGCCTATGTACAACTGCAGAACAATCACTAACAAATTACAAAATCTCTAACAGATTGTGTGCCATACCTCAACTAGTAATGTTTTAAACATGAAACATCTTTTTTTGGCCACTTCAATATAGCAAAAAAGAGGAATGTTCCCCTAGAAGTAAATGCAGTGAAGCACAAGATCCCTCTGTCTCTTCATACCTCAAAATCTTGATACTGCTCTTCAGTCAGTGATTTTTTGGCAACAACCAGTGTACGCAGTCCTTCTCGTGCCATATTACCACACTGAATGGACCAAATCACAGAACAATCATGCAAATATTCAACTATATGTACATGTTTTATAACTGTGCCATAACATTCGATATTTCTTTATACTCTTAGATTTATTTTTTTTTTGAGAAGCCACAAACATAATGAAAAGCAATTATACTTCAAAGTTCCCCGAATGAAGTGGTATGCTATTGGTAAACCAATTAGATTTCCTCTTCTAGCTTAAATAAAATCTCTTTTAGGTTGAAGCTTTCAAATAAATTAAAACTACTTTACAGGCATGTAACAGAGCTACATTTTCTTTTTCAGAAATATGCTTATTAAAAATAGCCATGGAATAGCATGTCTTAATGAAAAACAAGGCTGTTCAGTTCAAAACACTTATTGATTTGACCTCATAAAGCTAAATAAATTAAACAAGTATTTTACAATTAATTGTGCATCATTATCACCAAAAGTAATTTTTATGACATTTTGCTAGGTCTTGAGGGAGTTTAATTTATTCATGTCCCTGAATAAATCAAACTGCCCTGCAGCAGATATTGATTCATATTGCCAATACCATTATGAACATACATGGTGTAATCATTGTATTAACATATTGTCTGTATGTAGGGTCAAAATTAGATGATTGCTGGTACCTACTGGAGCTGCACAGCAAAAAAATAATAACCAGTTTTGAAATTCAGTCACTTATTATTTTATATTAATTTTAATAAAAATGGCATAAAACTATTTCAATTGGGCTGCAAGCCCTTATCAAACATCATAATCATACATCACTGTGGAATTTTATAAAAAAGGTCATTTTAGAACAAACAGGTCTACAGCAGAAAACTTCCCAGAAGAAAACAGTTTTTGTATAAAAGTTCAGTCAATGTAACACAAATTTCCTTGTTTTAAGTAGGAACATGTTCTGCCATGACTACCAGCTTTGCATTTCCTGTGGGTTATGCAAGAACTGGAAATAATTCTAACCTCTTTAAACCCATTCAGGATATAGGTAACTAAACTTTGAAACTCATTACCGCATTGGGTCAGGCTCTCTTTTAAACCTATTCCAGTAATAGCCTATATTTTTATTTAAAATTTTTATTTTTATAACATTTTAATTTTTATAAGTTTTTATTTTGTTTCTTACCTCTTCTTCTAACCAATCATTGTACTGTACAATAGTAGACATGGCAACATCTGCACCCTTCATGTAAAATGTAATTTCTCCTGAAGATTCATCCTAAAATTTTACAAAAGAAATAGAGGGGTGGGGAGAAAAAACACCTGTTTATGCAGTTAAAACATTTGCCTGCCAATAAACTGACACTGGATAAGTCAACAGATTATCATTTATAAAAGATGAAGTACCTGGCCGAGAGGTGGATAAGTTTTATTATTTGATGTTACTACTTCCAGTGACATTTGATTCCCTTGAGATGCACATTCCCTATGTTCTTGTATATGATAATTAGTTCTAACTGAAGTTGATGTGAGTAGAAGATTCTCAGCTTCCCTAAACTGCCAGTATAAATTTGAAAATCTCACTACTATGCCTCCTCTAACTACTATTTTTCCTTTGGTGGTATATACTACCTAACCCACAACAGCAAGTTTGCTCCGTATCTTTGAAATACTAAGTAATAATAAAAAATAAATTCTAAATAACTTAGTGTAAATCTTTGTTACAGACGTTTTAATGATGAAACATTTATCGCATATTCAGGGAATTAACATACAGGGAAATATAATCCAAATCAGGACTTTGTAAGGTATGGTCTGTTGCAAAAGGAATGAATTCGTCTGATACGCAGCTTCTTAGAATATATCTGACAATGACACTGTGAAACAGGCTCTTAGTGCCAACCTCACCTAATGAAATACAGACTTGCCAAGATCTTTCCTTCAGCACACACATATTTATAGAATCACAGAATGGTTTGTGTTGGAAGGGACCTTAAAGATCACCTAGATCCAATGCCCTTGCATGGGCAGGGACTCGAGATGAGGTTGTTCAGGGTCACATCTAACCTGGCCTTGGACACTTCCAGGGAGGGGGCATCCACCACCTCCCTGGGCAACCTGTGCCAGTGTCTCACCACCATCCCACTGAAGAATTTCTTTCTAATGGCTAACCTAAATCTCCCCTCTTCCAGTTTAAAGCCATTACCCCTTTACCCTATCACTACAAATCCTTGTAAACAGACCCTCCCCAGCTTTCCTGCAGGTCCCCTTCAGGTACTGGAAGGCTGCTATGAGGTCTCTCCAGAGCCTTCTTTTCTCCAGGCTGAACAAGCCCAACTCTCTCAGCCTGTTTACATAGGAGAGGTGCTTCAGCCCTCTGATCATCTCTGTGACCCTCCTCTGGACTTGGTCCAGGACCTCCATGTCCTTCATGTGCTGAGGGTTCCAGAACTGGACACAGTACTCCAGGTGGGGTATGATGACAGCCATGTAGAAGGCCCAGAATCACCTCACTTAACCTGCTGGCCACACTTTTTTTTGATGCAGCCCAGATCATTTTGCCTGAAGTATCCATGCTTAAGGCTGATGGCGTGCCTGGCTTGTCATCGTGGGCAAATGAAAAAGGATGACAGTTCAGATATCAATACTGGGTCTGGAAAAGCAGCAGCACTAGTAGTACAGAAAGATACTGAAACTACTACTGTTAAGAAATTTCAGCCAAAGGCAACATATTTTGTATGAAAGGAACACATGGAAAATTTAAACAAAGGCTTAAAGGCAATCTGTACTATCAGAGGCTAAATATGAAGTAGTGAATTTAGCACATTCCCGTGTAAGAGTCTGTCCACTACAAAGCTCCCTGCAACATCAGGTTAGCCTGATTTTTCTACAATTGCTTGCCTAGTATTTCATGTGTAACTATGTCATTGAACCTTTCACTTCGAAAATTTTGTGAAATGCATTCCCTGAAGGATCGAGTTTCTATTGATGAAAAAAAAAAATCAGTTAAAAAAATAATTATAAATAAAACCCAAGAACACTCCCAAAATTACCCTAACTATGATCCCCATGCGCTTGCTCTCAGAAGTGAAGGGAAAGATCTGCAGAATATAGTACGTCAGGATGTGTCCACCAGGGGTCTTCAGCTGCATTGAGGTCAAATCCCTGTTAACCAGAGTGAGACCAACACTCTCAGTCCACTGCACCAGAGCTACCTAAAGACAGAAAAGAAGGAAAAAAAAGACAAGTGTGGAAGGTCTATTATATTGGATATAGGTTAAGCTAAAGCAAAACAGCTGTTGCCAGGGTAAAATTCTAAACTCTTCCAAGAGTCTAAGGAAAAAAAAAAGTGACAGCAGCAGACTGAGTACAAAATCTTAATACAGCAAACAAATATTTTCTTTCAGAAAGCTTACAAAAATTCTTATGAAGAACACAGAAACTGAAATAACTCATTTGCAGGAATTAGTTCAAGTAAGATATATTGTTCAGAAATAACAGTTCTAATAAAAACACATATATATTAAATGATACTTAAAGGACATCAGTGGACATTACGCAAAACCAGAATACAATTTGTGTGTTTGCTTTTTTTTTTGCATTGCTATGCAAGTAAAAGATTTTAGAATTATTTCCATAGAAAACTTTTTATTAGATCTACACTTACATGCAAGCTGAGAGTCTGTAATATATACTAAACAGATTCGCAAAGGATCTTATTTTTAGCTTACTTTGTTCATTTGCATAATTTTGTTATCTTTTTTCAACAATAACATAATTGAGTTCTTACTGTTATCAAATGTGATACAAACCAAGCTTACAGTACTGCATCCCACAAACACACTTGTAAAAGTCCCTTTGACAAACCCAGAAATACCATATCATACAATCATTGCTATTCATTACTATGACTTGTCATCTTAAATATATGCATTAGAGATACACTGTTTTAAACAAATTTTGCTGCTCTAAAGTGTATGACACCTAGATTCTGCTTTCTTCTATTTTATGCCTTAGATGATACACTAGATATTTTCTGTCACAATCACTGTGCGCTTTATTCCTCCTAAAAATTAATACATCAGGAAAGCTGCTTTACTGCTAATTATGTACAAGTCATATTCCTTAACTGAATAGGAAGTTTCTGATAAAAAAAATAATAAATATCCTTCTCAATTCTATTTAAATTTTTCCAATCATTATTCCTAATCATTACTGCAAACCAGATTTTTAAATTACTAGAAAGGTAATTATAATGAAGTTAACATGATTTTTATGGAACTTGCCTCTGCTATTAATCTCAGGTAACATGAAATAAATAAAAAACAGACTGATAAAAAAAAATGCAAGTACTAAAATACCTAGATAAGTTTTACAGACATGATGACTAATACTAACAATTTCACCCAAAGCCAGTAGATCACCATAGCTTCTATGAAAAATTAAAATTGGAAAAACAAATTCTGTGAGCCTATAAGAAACCATCTGTGCAGACATCACCAAATGAAAATCCAGTGAGATGCAGTTTCAGAAAATAACACATTTAAAAAAACCAAACATTTAAACACCATTTAAAAATCTTGAAAATCACAGGAAATCTTTTTAGGTACTTTTCTTCAATAAAAGTACCATATAAGCTGTAAATGACCCAATACTCCCAAGGTTAATTTTCAATTTTCACAGTGAAAGGTTACTATTACATTCTGACCTGTAAATTGCATCTTTCTACTAACACCCTATCATCTCACTTGCGTCCCTTTGCAGCTAGGACTTAAGTGTTCTATATTTGGTGACTCACATCTGTTTATTATTTTGTTTATGCTTGGCTTCACCTACCATTTGAATTTGCATTTTGCAGCACAGTAATTTTGGATTCTTATACCTGGCCTACACACAATTGCATGCATTATTTTTTCTTTTAAATTGATCTGTGCAAATAATGTAGCAGTAATAGTCAATAAGGCTCAAGAGTCAAGTAGATGCCTAAAAGGCAACTGGACAAACTTGAGAGCAAGACATTAAGTGTGACTCTCAGAATGAATCAGAGCAGCTAGACCTTAATACCAACCAGAACAAGATAGGCAGACCTTACCATTAAATATCTGAAGCTTTAGAATATACGAATTTAAAAAGAAGTATGTCAGAAATGGCATGAAAATCTAAATTATAAATCTCAACAAATAAATATCAACTCAATGGGTGGTACACAGGAGATTTAACCTGAATATGAGAAAATACTTCTTTACTCTTATGGTAACAGAGCACTGAAACATACAGCCCAGGGAGCCTGTGGAGTCTCCAACCCTGGAGATATTAAAAACCTGCCTGGGTGTGCTCCTGTGTAATCTGTTCTAGGGGATCCTGCACTAGCAGAGAGGTTCGACTAGGTGATCTCCAGAGGTCCCTTCCAACCCCAAACATTCTGTGATTCTGTGGTTATATAGAGTCCAGAGAAAGGATTCTTTGGTAAGTCTCTTTCCTTGATGTTTCCCCTCTACAAGTATATTACCTTCAATGCATTTCTGAAACCTTACATTAAAATGGCCTTGCAATCTAGTAGGCACACAAGAATCCCTAGAATGCCAGGCAAATGTAGCAGCTATGGCTTCTACAGGGCTTGATATATTGGATGGAGTCAGATACCAAAGGCTGGAGGAGGACAAAAGTCTTTCATTGACTTAAAAAATAAATATTTTCTAATATTTATTTCCTGATACACATTTATTTCCTAACACACACAGATGAAACATACCATGTTTCCTGAATCCAGGTTAAGGACTTCATTTAGCATTTTGTGGATCTTGCCTGGTTTATCACCAAGCTTTCCTTCTGTGGAAAATGGCTGCCTGGCAGACAGCAATACGTGGGTAGATACAGAGTCCTCCCTCCACTGAGACACAGGTGTGCACCTGAACTCACTAACTATGCAGCACTTCCAGGAAAGGTAATGTACTGGAGTCAAAGAGACCTTCTATGGTTTCTAACTTGCTAGTTGTCTTCCCCCACCGTAGCAATCCACAGGGTAAAGACAGCATGACAAGGTAAAAGTAGCAACTTCCAAAGAATGAAGGTAGCAAATACTTACATTATGAAATGGAAATGCAATGAATCTGAGAAAAGCTATCTTTTATAACTAAATCTAAACAAGCATCTAGGTAGTTTCTAGAAAATTCCATAAAATACACTAGGTTAAGTGGCAATGATGCAGTTAGTTATTTTATAAGTCATAGAACGTAAGCTTACTAGAGTCAGGAAAATTAATACTTAAGGACTTCATAAACCTGCATCAAGCACAGGAAAAAATCAAAAAACCATTACTCCCATTGTAGGTTCCGAACTGCATATTTCATTAGAACACTTGACTGATTTTACCTTAAATAAATATTGATCAACAATTTTGAAAAACCCCAAAACTTCTGAAAACATGCAAATTGATAGGCCACAAAAAACGTGGTATATTTAATTTTATAGTAAACCACATTCTAAATATTTTTTTAACTATGGTGTCAACATTTTTTTTAGAGAAAAAGTGTCTTCTACTATAAGCTCTATCAGCCTATGACTCCCATTTAATAGCCCAAATGAAAAGAATCACACACAGAAAACAGCAGAGATGTCTAAGTACATGGGTTGATAGTCAAAATTAAGGCTGATATGTAAGAGGAAACAATTGTCCGTAGAAAACATTTAAAGAAACAGCTGTATCTTTATTTACTTTCAACTATGAGGATGAAAGAATTAAGTACCTCCCTGTCCCACCAAGCAACAGGAGTTTGCTTTTCTATGAAGTGGTGTTACGTGGCTTTAGGCCATTCAATCAGTATGCACAAGACTCTTCCTTACACAGCCCAACTCAAAGCCCATCTCTAAATTCTCTTGACCTTTCCCTGTGAGGGTGAACAACTTGCACGAGGAAGGGCACACTCATTGCTTCTCAGATCAACATCTTCCTTAGCTTCCTCTGGACCAACAGGAAATACCAGTTATCACCCTGCTGTCTTACTAATTTTCAGTTTGGGAAAGTGCAACACTGAGTCCCTTTGCTCTTTTGGAAATGTAACTACCTATAGTCACTTGTTATCTTGGGAGCATGATAGCATGAAGAAGTACCAGTTAAAGAAAATCCAACATGGTCACTTGAAAAAATGGTACTTGCTTTGCCTTTAGGCATATAGGGTTAAAAATCCACAAAGTGAGGTATTTGAAGCACCCTGCTGAATCCTGAGGACCTTCAGCTACTGGATCAACCCTAAAAAGGCTGCTACTCCTTGGCAGAAGACAAAAAAAATACCCTAAGGCTATTCTTGCTTGCTTTAGGTATTATATCAATCGGGCCCGGAACATATTACTTTCTTTCCATCATACTGCTAAGGCACCTTTTGAATTCTGGGCTGTTTGGAACTTAGCTGGTCTTAAGAATCTGATCCACTAATTTTGTTTTTTATAATAGGATATTTTGAGAGAGAAAGCAGATGTGAAAAAAATCAGTAACAACCCATCCCACTTGGGTAAATTCAAACAGATTGGATACTTAGCTGACTCAAAACCAACCTTCTCTCAACCAAGACAAGTACAGCGATATATTTCTATGAAAATATTCAAAATCTTATTTAAAGAAACTGTCACAGCCCTGACTACACCCTCCTTCCTAGGTGCTTAACCAGCTGCATTCAAGGCCAGCTCACTGTTAAGAACTGTGATGAAGAAACAGCACGGAAAACCTTCTGTGGAGTCTGCTCTCTCTCACACTTGGTCTTGTGACAGCTACATTGCAGTGATGTCGCAGCTATGCCCCCACTTGGCCACATACCCTGCTGACCTGGCCCTGACAGACAGACATGACCTCCTGGCTTTGGACTTGCCTCACTGCCATGAGCTTTCCTTGCTATCACCAGACTGTGGCTAATGTTGGTTACTGTCTTGGGACCTGAGCCTGACTTCATTATTTGACTTCTCGGCTTGAGTTCAGTTGTGCCTCATCATCATAGACCTGCACAACAATCCTGTCTTTAGTTTCTGCCAGGGCACATGGTATTTTCAACTTGCTTAGATCACTGAAGCTACTGCTTCTAGCACCCTGGCTATCATGTTCAGGTCCTGGTTTCCCTCTCCTCACGGGCCAGCCTGCCATTGCTGCTCCCTAGAAAAACAGCTAAGTGCTCAATATTTATGAAGTGTCACTCAGAACTGATTATGACCAACTAATGGTCACTTTCAACATACAATATTCCCTTTGAGCTAAAGTCAGTTTAAGAAAAAGATTCACAGCTTCATGGCTAGTGATGGCTCTTCACCTTATCCAGCAGTTTGGGAGTTGCCCCACAGTTATGCTGACAGCTATTCTGGAGCCATGCTATGAACCTAACCAATTAAACTGGAAAATGACCCATTTAAATAAATGCTTCAAAGGTTTTGGTAATCTGTAGGATGAGAAAGATAGACTAAGGATGGAAAATCTGTGACCTGTTTTTACTGCTTAGAACTTTCATGAACATCCTTAATTTACTTAGGAGTATTTAAGAGCATCTTCATCTCAGACAACAGCATCTACTTTCAAAATCAGTTGCTGTATAAGGTATACAGAAGTTATATGCATGGTATTTTGAAGTTAAGGCTATTGGTTTGGAAACAAAGAAGCAGTGAGGTTTCTTTTTTCCACTTTTGGAGTGCTCTCAACAGTTTCTATTTGGGTTGTTCAACAACAACTCATGTATATTACCAACCCTCCCTAGTTTGTTTATGTTTATAAACAATGATTTGGTAATTAACATCTGCAGTCCATCAAGAAACTTAATAATTAAAATAAAATTATTAACTTAAAAATACAGCTTGATCATGTGAAAGAACTGCTGATCAATACTCAAGACAAGCTACGGAGTAGTTATTCTTTGTGGGTCTCGAAGGTCATGAAAGTGATGGTTTTATGCTACTGAGTGATTTGCTTTTCACAATACATTGACAAAACAACACAATTAGTCTTGCTTCAATAAGCACACACAATAAAATGAATTAAACAATACAACATGCCTCATACATTATAGCTTCACTTTTGTAAACACAAAAGCTGCTTCACTAAGGGCATGTCATTTCCTTGTCTGTTTTTAAATGATTGGCCTTGTATCCCTGTAATTATTTTTAGCAACTCTGTTGTCTCTGGACAGAAACGATGGAATTAAATAACTGAATATAGTTTAAGGTAGTATTTAAATATTAAAAATCCTGGAATTAGAAATGCTTGAGAATCTAACCATGAAGGAAAAAAACATAACCAACAAATAGCTGGTTTCTGAGAGCAAGCAGTCATTAAAAATTGTGGCTGATCAATCTTTTCTAACCAAGAGGTGCAAAGGTCTTCAAAGGCTCCTGTTCATAGCAAGCCCCTGAATTGCTTGGCTTTGTGACCTTTGATGCTTTACCTGCTTAGCTTTTATTCTTTTATGATTGTTCATTACATTAAGGTAGCTGGCTTTCTACAGATGAAGTGAACCCATGCCTATGACAGCCAAGCAGAAGCCATTTCCATTTTTTCAGTGAGTTCTCAGTGAATGTTTATTGTTTGCTATGCTACAGCTGTAGAGGACAAGTGACAGACAAATGAAACTTTCCACTCTTTCAGAGAAAATGAAATATTGATCACTTATCATAAGAAACAAAGAGCTTGGCATAAGTAGGGTTCACATTACGAATACAAAATCAGTTACTTATCTCAGGATACTCTAATAATAGCCAAATACATCTTTTATGATGAATGTACCTACTTCTAAATGTGCATACTTTGTTATGGTTATATTTTCTCTGTATAATTATGCACACACAGAGATATGAAGATTTTAAAATTAACTCCTCACGTCAATTAAGTGCATAGTATGTCAACATATTACTAAACTGCTTATACTTTGTATATGGAAGAATGGTGTATATTTACACATTGTTTTCTGCTCTTTATATGCTATGATGATATAACATAATATTATATAATGCAAGACAATGGTGAAAATAACAGATTATCAAGACTGCAGTCAAGCCAGACCTACAAACAAAATCTAAGAGAACAGAGTTGTAATGTTGAGAAAGTACAATGCATAAAACTGGTTAAATCTATTAAATGATAATGTTGCTTATTAACCAAATATGTTGTGATAGGTCAGTGCTGAGGTTAAACAGAAAACATCAATTGAACCATTTCCCGAAATAAAGCTCCAGGGTGCAATATTCAAAGCACTTTATTCAATAAAAAATGCTTTTAAAATGGTACTTTGGTGATTGGGAAACATTGGCATCATCCGTCAACCTAACTGCAGGGAAGTTCAATAAGCTAAATAATGAACCATTTACATTATTTTCCTTAGGCTCCAGTGATTTGCAAACATTGCATCAATAGAACTCTTAAAAAAATTATGATAAAGACCTGCTAGTCTTTCAACTCCTAGGTTTTTTGCTGTCATGCTGCAATTTTTATGTGGTTTAAGTGTTTTTTGTAGCTTCATCTTTTTATAAGACTCCATTTAACATCAATTTCTCATTATATTAAAGTATATTTGTTCAATATGATAATTTTACTTGCATTTCAAGTATTATCTTTGAGAAACTAAAACGAAATTCTATATATGTTCTAAATGTAAGTTTTTCATTTCACTGTCATAGCTTGAATGTATGAATTAAGAATAACATTAATAAAGGATACCTGTGCTTCCTCTTCCTTGAAGTACTAACAGTTTCCTTGCTTCTGATTTCCTCTTCCACTTCCCTTTCCACCCTGAACCCTAGATCATCGTATTAACACATTATTAGCTTTACTTCCCTCCCTCTTTTCAAGGTCAAATTCCCTACTCTCATCTCAGGGCACCACTTGCACAAATCTGAAGTCTTACAATTCTTTCCTTTTGTAAATATGAGAGGAAAATTGCTCTTTATGTTAATATTTTCACATTCCAAATAACTGACTGAAAATACAAAAGCCCACAGGGACAGAGGAGCAAGTAGGAGAAAAAACATTCTCTCTCACAGTCTCAATGGCACCTCTCTTCACCTGATTTAGTGATACCTTTGGCTGTTAAAGCAGAATGTTTACTTAATCCATAGCTGTCATCATCTCTTCATAGGTAGATACCTGATCAGGCAGTCTTTCAGTATAGTTAGTAATACCTCACAGGCTCATTACACTGACCTATTTAGCAAATACCAATACATGTGCATGTGAAAATTTGTACACGTGTATAATGTTTGACTTATGCTATGTACAACTACACTAAAAATTTGTATTTATACTCTATCTCTGGCATAAACAAATGCACTTCCAGCATTCTCAATCCACACTGTGTAACACCACAAATAGTATGAGGGATTTTTCATTTTAGACAAAGAGCAGCGTCTCATGTTATGCCTAGAGTTTATTTTAAAAAATGTTCTGACTTCCACTTTAACCATTGAGAACCAGTCACTTCTTTATTTTCTGCAATCCTTTGACATTATGAACTGTGTTTATAGAATATATAATGATGGCTAGTTCAGTACTACATGAAGACAGACAATATTATTTCTTGCACTCCTAAAAATACTTGAAAGACACTTGTTACTTTTCCAATTACAGCCTGCAGTTTGAATTGCTGTGTTGAATAGGGTGAAACGTTAGACATGTACAGCAAATGCACAGCAAGAATAAGAGGCTATACTGTGGCAAGGGGAGGTTTGTAGAAGAAATACTATCTTGTATTAGATCAACTTGTATAGCTAGAAAAATATACAGGCTTCAGATACACACTCCCTTCTTCTCATCTTACAACCTTGTTTTGATTATGAATAAGATACAATGGCTACATAACCAAGAGTATATTCAAGCTTCAGACACTGCTAGCACTTTTTAAAAACAAAGATGCCCCTCAACCTGCTCACTTTCAGAGGCAATCCAACCTTGAGATACTCTATATCTCTATTTTACTATATAGCAAGCTCCTACATGTTTTTAGAAAGTGAGTGGGCTATAATTATTTTATGCCTGCTTTACAGTACCTTGAAGCTTGAACTTTGCCTCTCTCTTCTATTAACTTTTAATACTGAATTTTAGACAAATAATTTAGGCCCCAAAACAGGATTATTCAGAATAGTATCTCAAATCCATGGAAAGCAGTGGAATTTGTATAAAATTCAGATTTCAGTGGAAGTCAAATGAATGTTTTTATTGAAATGGGGTTTAAAGTTGTGCAACACTTGATGTAGCCTTGACTGAACACTGAAGATTGTGAAGTTCAATGTCCAGATGGAGATCAGCAACAAGGGGTTCTCCCTCAGGGGTCAGCACTGGGCCAAGTGCTGTTGAACATCTTTGTTGGGGACACGGACAGTGGGATTGAGTGTATCCTCAGCACGTTTGCTGATGATACCAAGCTGTGTGGAGTAGTTGACACCCTAGAGGGAAGGGATGCCATCCAGAGGGACCCTGACAGGCTGGAGAGGTGGGCCAGTGCCAACCTCATGAAGTTCAATAAGGCCAAATGCAAGGTCCTGCACCTGGGTCAAGTAGAGGATACAGGCTGGGTGGATAATGGATTTAGAACAACTTCACAGACCTTTGGGGCAAAAAAATGAAAACATTTCTATGTGGGAGAGAATCAGCAGCTCCTTGCCACAATTTTAGAGGAAATAAAACCAGATTACTCATAATTTTAAAGAAACCCCACCCCAAAACACCCTTCTTTCACTGCTGTGCTCTTTTAAATTTAGCTTATCCTTTTCTTTCTGAGATACTAATTTTTTCACCCCTGCATACTAACCTCATCAGGGCTGGAAGCCTGGTAAGTTCTATTTTCATCACTGAAGTCCTGATCCACTTCTGCATATTCTGTTTCTGCAGACACACCAGCCCGGGATTCATACACTGGGGTCACATTGTGGCACAGTGCAATGGCCTTCACTGCTTCATGGATCCGACTGCTGACGCTCTTGCGCACTTTGGGTGCAGATGACTGAGGTTTCCTAGATGGTGTTGAACTCGTACTGTTTCCACTATTCTGAGAGTGCACCTTCAAGACCAACACAACAAAGTGTAAAACAAAGCTCAATAATAGAAATAAAACATTAATACTATAAAATATATCTATATCCTATTGTTCCCTTTAAAAAGGTTGATACGCGACATGGACTGTGACCATGTATTTATTGTATATAATGTATTGTTAAGTCATTCAGTTTGTGATTCAGAAAAAACTTTCATCTACTTTTCTGTACAACTCATATGTAACTGTGGGTTCATCACTTTGCTTTTGTAATCAGATTTCAGTAAAAGAGCCTGCACGCAACTGAAAAATGTGAAAATGAAAACACGTATGCAGTGAAAGGGGTGAACAGGATGACAGGATTCTGAAGAAAACCCTGCTTTCTCACTTCAGAATGTTTTCTTTTCAGTGATCTGTCACAATACTCCTTCAATGTCCTTTGCATTCTATGAATTAAGTATTTAAGCCAGGAAATGACTGGATGAGTTCAGAAACACCAAAACAAAATTGCAAGGGTGGTCTCCTGTTGTGCATCTTCTTCAGTCTGTCACCTGTGTACTTCAGAGGTTGGAAACTCCAATGCATTAAACTGGAAAAAAACCCCTTTTGTTTTAAATCTGCACCTATATCTCTGTATTTTAAAGATCAGCACACTGGTATGGAACAAAAGAACAAAAGCAAGTATCACTGTTGAGTAGAAATGACTTATTAGAATACAACCATTGCCAATTTAGTTCATAATCTACACGATTTCTAATATTATTTATTAACTAATGCCATTTGTATGCTTTTGCTGCAGGCTAGAATTTGTTTGTCCTTACAACATTACAATAATCTAATAAAATAATAATGCAAAATAATAGTTATCCTTCAGAAATGCTCAAGCATGAGGCTGAATTAATAGTTTCAGAGAAAGTACTATATGTTTATAATTAGCTGAAAATAAGTGCATTTGGGTTTTTTGTTTGGGTTTTTTGGGGGTTTGTTCCTTGTTTTGGGGGTTTTTTATGTTTGTTTGGTGGTTTGGGTGGTTTTGATTTGGGTTTTTTTGGTTGTTGTTTTTTAAGTCAGCATATCAAATATATTAGCAGTAACACCAAATGTCTCAGTGCTACCAAAGGCTCTTCTGCTCACACCAGGGTAGTAACTCAGAAAACCTATTCAGAAAC